GAACTTGCCTATATATGTCTATATATATTTATTATTCGTACACAATCAACGATTGAAGCATTATTATGAACTATTATAAATATGATGAATACGATAAATATTATAAATTCTATATATATCATAATTATTACAAATAATTTATGTCAACGAATTGAATTTTATGTGCTTTAGTAGAAAATACAAACCATTAGCTTTATTGGTGGTTAAAGCAATAAAATAGATGTACCATTATATTAATATTGGAATTATTCAGCAGTAAGTAAAACATTTTAGAAAGGAAAGAAATATTTTTGCTTTGAAAGTAATTTCATGATTTTGAATTTGTTCAAAATTGTAAATTCCCATAAGTTCTTGGCTAAATATACTACATAGAATAAAGCTTCAGCACCCTTATTATCCTAATACCCTAATATTCGAACGTTCGCGTATCCGGAAGTTCTGTTATCCGTATAACTATTTTGTAGCGATGATTACATATAATATTTTGAAGCACACGTGTTTTCTCCTAGTTGTAAGTTACTATTAATACCATAATTCTATGTAATTATATTTATTACCAAAATTATACGATTTAGCAGTTAAAAAACCATATGGGATTTTTAAATATCGAAACAGAGTGACGAGTTTGTTCATTACAGTTTGAATAAATAAAGTTTGATATAAAAGAATATAGGATCGTGCATTTCCGTTCCAAATAAAGTAAAAAAGGCCTTGTATAGTTCAAAGGTTAAAGCAGTGGTCCAGAAAATCAAAGACCCGGGGTCGAGCTCCTTATTTAGTCAAGTTCAGCGACCTAATTTTTTCACAAATCCTACAAGAATGCTTGTTATATTATATTTTTGAAAATTCCTTTGATCTGACCACTTTTATTTTGTTATTAAAACAAATAGGAAAGGGTTCTACTGTTTATAAATTCGTCTTATTGTTAGTAAAATTCTGACTAGCGGAATATGCACATTCGTCTTAAGTGCGATTCAAATGATTAATACACGCGTATATATTATAAATGCATATGCAGAAATTCTTAAGAAGAAGTTCCGTAGCTTGAATCGGCATATAAAATTAACAATGCATACTTTGTCACTTAGCAGGCGCAATCTAAAGTTTGCCGTCTTATATTATGCAAATAGTAATTCAAATAGAATCATAGGAATTGAATTTCGACGTATGACGTGTTGAGAAATGTATCGAAACTTTATGTTCAAGTCTAATTCAACTCGATGATTCACGAATGTTGTGTACGATCATTTTTTTGTGATGAAAAAGAAGAAAAAAGAAGATTAATGATCGAGACAAAAAAAAATTGATTGAAGTGATAAATAATTATTGAGAATTGATATAATCAAGTAGATTTGATTCAATTGTTGTTTTCATTTGCAGCACTGAATCTACTTACTGATTACTCCACAATCATTACCGAGGCTTATCTATCTTTTTACTTTCTATTTATTCTTTATTTCTACAGCAACCACATTCACGTACAGAGAAACACAACGTCGGTGAGTGGTAGCACAACCCAATACACGTCTCTATTTATCTTGTTGGTTTGCGGTTAAAACGCTTTTGTTTTGTACCCCGTGTGACTTCGACCTCTCCCTTTCGACAAATAAACTAACGTGAACACCTCACTCCCCTTCGAAAAATTGATGTATTGTCGTGACGATCGTCGCTTCAATGTATCGCGTTGAATGTTAAAAAGAGAAAAAGAAAAAGAAAGAGAAAAATGTATATATACATATATATCTATATATATATCTCGATATATATAAAACATTTAAGGTAGAAAATATTTTATATTAATACCATGTCACGTGAAATCACATGCTATCCTGTTACATATTACACTACCTGATATTATAGTTGGAAACATACATATAATAAAAAATTAAATAAAAAAAAAAGAAAAACAGATATTTTATATAACAACGTTTAACGTAGAAAATATTATACATTAATATCGCGTTATGTGAAATCATATGCTATCGCGTTACATATTATAACACGTAACATTACACTTTAAATATATGAAATAAAAAGATGAGATACGTAACGTGAAATCATATTATTTAATAACTATATGATCGTCAATAGCGATTGTTATCGTGCATATAACTGCGAATGATTCCGTATAATTAACTATATGGTTGAACTTCTCTTTATTTCTTCCTCCGAGTGTTAGGAAAAAAAAAACGAAATTGATGATTTATACCACGCTCAGAAAAAAGCTTTCTACTTTTTTCTTTTTTCTTTTTTCTATGATATGCTTAGTCCATAAGTACGTCAAAGAAGAAATGACCGACCTTTGCTGAGCTTGCAGAAAATCGTACATATTTTTGTGATGCGTGAGAGTGACACATGAGAAAAGGGAATCGTAAAATTTATTGGTTCTTTCTATGTAGGTTCCATTCGTATCGTTGACATTTTACCGATGGGAAGAAAAAAGTAAATACCTACCTTCGTAACCTCCATGAATGTTTTACTTCTTTGATTTATAACGATA